TTCTCTTGAATCAGCATTAAGCTGAGCAGGACTCAATGCTGATGCTGATCCTGCATCCACACACTGAGAAGCTTCTCCATCTCCTCCGTCTCTTGTCCACACTTCTTCAATATTATTGTCAACATCATCGGCACAGCAGACTTCACATGTTCCATGATCTTGTCCTTGTTCTTTAGAACTGTGCCAATGGTGGAACGATTCATGTTATAATAATGAGTGGCAGCTACCATCTTTTTGCCTCTCTCCACTCTCTCAATTATTTTCAGTTTGTTTACATCGTTATCGCTTGATGTTTCTTAGCAGTACCAGCTACATCACCACTGCTTTTACGCTTGTTTCCGGACATCCTGGGCTTGAAATAAAGATATTGTACTACTGTACTCTATACAGTACTGTAAAGTACACAAAAGCACAACCACTTGTAGAGGATGCATGCACGTGACAATGTACGCCAGACACATGAACTTACTTACATGATTGGACATGCAAATTCACGTTCGCATCTTTGAAAGTTCACAACTTGAAGGTTCGTACTTAGGGAACTTACTGTATTCTAAATCCTCTGTGGTCATTTCAACAATCTTCACAGCATCTTTACCAGGAGTAGATTTCATCTCAAGAAATCACTTCCTTTGTTCATCCATAAGAAACAACTCTTCATCCACTCAAGTTTTATCATGAGATGGCAGCAATTCAGTCACACCTTCAGGCTCCACTTCTAATTCTAGTTCTCTTGCTATTTCTTGCTACCACATCTGCTGAAGCCTTTAACTCCTCAAAGTCATCCATGAGGGTTGGAATCAACTTCTTCCAAACTCCTATGGATACTGATATATGAAATCATGAATCATGAAAGTTCTTTTTTTTTTTTTTTTTTCTTTTCGGGAGAAGGAAAGATTGATTTATTACTTGCAGCTAGTAAGGAGAACACCTGGTGATCTTTCCCAAAGCAGTGTCTCCACAAATGTTCTTAATGACATCCAGAATGGTGAATCCTTTCCAGAAAGCTTTCTATTTAGTTTACCCAGATCCATCAGAGGAATCACTATCTATGGCAGCTATAACCTTACAAAATGTGTTTCTTAAATAATAAGACTTGAAACTGTTAATTACTCCTTGATCCATGGGCAGCAGAATGGATGTTATGCTAGCAGGCATGAAAACAACATGAGGGACTTCCCTCGTGGTCCACTGGTTAAGACTCAGAGCTCCCAATACAGTGGGCACGGGTTTGATCCCTGGTCAGGGAACTAAGATCCCGCATGCCACTCAGCGCAGCCAAAACAAAAAACAAAAAAAACACATGAATCTCATTGTACAACTCCATCAGAGCTCTTGGGTGACTGGGTCCATTGTCAATAAGAGTAATATTTTGAAATGAATCTTTTTTTCTGAGCAGTAGGTCTCAACAGTGGGCTCAAAATATTCAGTAAACCATGTGGTCAACTGATGTGATGTCATCCAGGCTTTGTTGTTCCATTTACACAGCACAGGCAGAGTAGATTTAGCATAATTCTTAAGGGCCCTGGGATTTTCAGAATGGTAAATGAGTATTGGCTTTAACTTAAAGTCACCAGCTGTATTAGCCCCTAACAAGAGAATCAGCTTGTCCTTTGAATCTCTGAAACCAGATATTGACTTCTCCTCTCTAGCTATGAAAGTCATAGAGGGCATCTTCTTCCAATATAAAGCTGTTTCATCTACACTGAACTCTGTTGCTTAGTGTAGCCACCTTCATTAATTATCTTAGCTAGGTCTTCTGGATAACTTGCTGCAGCTTCTACATCAGCCCTTGCTGCTTCACCTTGCACTTTTATGTTATGGAGACAGCTTTCCTTAAACCTCATGAACCAACCTTGACTGGCTTCAAACTTTTCTTCTGTAGCTTCCTCACTCTCTCAGCCTTCACAGAATTGAACAGCGTTAGGGCCTTGCTCTGGATTAGGCTTTGGCTGAAGGGAATGTTGTGGCTGGTTTGATCTTCTATCTGGACCAATAAAACTTTCTCCCTATCATCAGTTAGGCTGTTTTGCTTTCTTATCATTTGTGTATTCACTACAGTAACACTTTTAATTTCCTTCAAGAACTTTTCCTTTGCATTCATAACTTAGCTCACTGTTTGGTGCAAGAGGCCTAGCTTTCAAGTCTATCTGGGCTTTTGACTGGTTGCCTCACTAAGCTCAATCATTTCCAGCCTTGGATTTAAAGTGAGAGATGTGCAACTCTTCCATTCACTTGAACACTCAGAGGCCATTGTAGGGTTATCGATTGGCCTAATTTCAATATTGTTGTGACTCAGGGAATAGGGAGGCCCAAGGAGACAGAGAGAGAGATGGGGTAGAGCAGTCAGAACACACACATTTATCAACTAAGTTTGCCATCTTATATAAGTGCAGCTTGTGGTGCCCCAAAACAATTATAATAGTAACATCAAAGATCACTGATCACAGATCACCATAACAGGTATAATAAAAATGAAAAAGTCTGAAATACTGTGAGAATTACCAAAATGTGACACAGAAACACAATATGAGCAAATGCTCTTGGAAAAATGGCACCAACAGGATTGCTCAACACAGTGTTATCACAAACCTTTAATTTGTAAAAAACACAGTATCTGTGAAGTACAATAAAGCAAAGCACAATAAAACAAGGTATGCCTATGTAAGTATGCCCTGTGCAACATTTAAAAATTATGCATTGTTTGTCTGAAGTTCAAATTTAACTGAGAATTCTATATTTTATCTGGCAGCCCTACCCTGGTACAACATAGGAGGGGACTACACAAGGGTGTGAAAGCCAAGAGGCAGACAGTGATCACTGGGGTCTGTCTTATAGGTTGGCTACCAGAGCTAAGTCTTCCCATACAACACTTTTTTTTTTTTTGGCTGATCAATTTCACAGTCACTCTTTCAGTGAAACTGAAAATCAAGTCATGGTCCAAAAAAAGCAATCAGTTATAGTTTTTGTTGAGATTTCATTAAATCTACAGATTAATGCAAGGGAAATGGATATATTTATAGTATGGAGTGTTCTCAGCAAGCCTTTTTATATCCTCTATTAAGTTTTATATTTTTCTTCATCTAGGTCATGCATACTTCCTGTTAGGAGTTTGCTGTTATTATAGTTTTGGTTTGTGATTATAATTTTACCTATGATAGTTTTGAGATGGTTTTGGTTGGAATATAAGACTATTACTGATTTTTGTACATTTACTTTGTAATGGCTACCTTATTGAATGTTCCTATTATTTCTAGTAACTTTTAAGTTGATTCCCTTAGGTTTTCCAGGTACGTTATAATGTCATCTGCAACTAATGATAATTTTGCCACCTCCTTTTCAATATTTAAACCTCTAATTTTGTTTTTTTGACTGATTATACTGTCTATCGAGCAGTTATCATTTTTATGAGAAAAACTTGAGCCTCGGAATAGTCTTCTGAATTGGGAGAAAATAATATACAGGAAAACTACTTTACACATTTTATTATTTAGGTTGAGGTGTAACTGTAAGTATGATGTTTCCAGACTACCCTCCCCAAATCTGCTACACAAAAAGCTTCCCAGAATTTCACTTTGTTTAAATATCCCACATCTGCGTTGCTTTGAAAGAACTTATAACAAAGTCTGCCTTCCAGAAACAGCGGAACTTTTTCCTTACCATTTCAGGCAGACATTCAAGGGGAGTTTTCACAGGACTTTAGACATGTCACTTCCCCCAAAAGTGTATTACATAAAAAGCTTTGGATCAGGAAAACAAGAATCACACATATACAGATAAATAAGGACTCCTGAAAATCCAGAATACAGTCCACAGCACAAAAACAACATAACCTAATGGGAGAGGGAGAAGAAAAGCCCAGAGAGAGAGACAGCTCACAGGGGAATGCTCTGCCAGGCATTGGCTCCCTCTCTTAAACAACAGCTGTTAATAAATCTCTTGAGCAGTGGGAGTGTCAGATTTTTTTAGCTGGGAAACAGGGGTAGCTATCTGGCTGGAAGGGAAGACTGGAGGACTTGTATTAACTGACTGCTGCTTCTGGGTAGTTAGCACACCTTTTTTACTTCGAATGCATATTACACAACAATAAAAATAACGTGTTTTCTAAAGATGCTCTTATTTATAATTTACAAACTTTTTTCTTCTTACATATGAATTCTGATTCTGGAGGGCAGCTGTGGGTTTGATGCAAATTGGTGGGGGGAAGCTAAAGCTCTCCTAAGCCACTCCTTCACACCCACAGGTCTACAAAGCACTGTTCTAAATTGTATGAAAGCATAAAGTTTAAAAAGATACGATTCTACCCATATGGGAATAGAATATAGAAAAGAGTGGATAGATGTATAACTGATTCACTTCGCCATACAGCAGAAAATAACACAACACTGTAAATCAACTACACTCCAAAAAAATTAATTAAAAATAAAAATATAAAAATAAAATATACAATTCTGACCCTCAGAAAAGCACAATCCAAAGGTGTAAAGAGAATGCAAGGAGGGAATCAAAGAAGGTGACTGAGGTAACTAACTGTTGACTACGGGCACAGTACAGAACTACTCAACCTCCAGGTTACAAATGATAACACAGATGTTCAGGGCTAAGTTGATTTTAAAATTCTGTCTTAACACTGTGTTGATGGTGGCAAAATATTCCCATGGAGGGGGGTTATAGGAACAAGGAAGGAGGTGTGTCTTTTCCTAACACACCGGGTGATGTGGTCCTAAGCCATGATGAGTCTGGAGAGGCACCTCCTCCCATGTAACAGCTTTTTGGGAAACAGGTAATATGAGCTGTTTCAAGTCCTATGGAGAGTTTAACTTGGGTCTGGAGGCTTGGAAAAAAATCCAGATGGAGTGGCTTCAATTCAATACATACTTACTGAGTACATTTGTATCAGGTACTACATTGGGGACAAAATAAGGCAAAGGTCTCTATCCTCAGAGTCAACGGAAGACGTTTTCATCTCTGACATCTCAGAATCACACTCAGGATCTTACCTGTAAATACTAACACAGGGATCCACCAACACAACTGGTCTTGCATTTTCTAGAAGTTTCTTGTCTTTGAGATTGTGTGCCATTCCTGAACAGAGTACAAAAAAATAAAATGTGAAAGGTGCTCTGGCATGCTCTTTAACTCTCAAATGCAGACCTCAGGAAAAAAACACTGCAAATTTTAGCTGATTTTGCTCTTGCTCCGTGGGAGACTGAGTTAAAGCAATTTTTAACTTAATGAACACTAACTGTGAGCCAATTTAAAACAAATATGCCAGACCAAGCCATCCTGTTTGGACAGTAATCAAAGCAAACCTCATCTTAGCCTGGATCAGTGACATCTACCAGAACCTAATGCCTGGGGAGAAAGACTAACTTAATTAATATTCCTCACTGAATTCTTGATTCTAACCACCATCCCCTCCTCCAAAACCTCTTTCTCTCCATGCTTTCTGCACCTGAGAAAATGGCAACCCACCCACCCAGCCACTTGCTCTATCTGGACACGTTAACGCATCTGCTCTAGACAATGAGTCCAGACCATGACCAAGTCCTGTCAACTCTACCCTCCAGTACATCTTAAATTTGCTTACTTTTCTCTCCCCTACCAGTACTGTAACCCAAGTCATGCATATCTCCCACCCAGACAACTGCATTAGCTTCCAAGCTGGTGTGCTTGCTTCTACCCTGTCCTCTATCAAACTCCTCAGATACATATGTGATTTAACTTGTGTATTGGATATTTCTCCCCTCAGAATGTAAGCTCCGTGAAGACAAAGACTCCTTCTGATTTTTTTTTACTGGGGTATTCCTGGTGCCTAGCACAGTACCTGGCATACAGTAGGCATCAATAAGACTTGAGAAAATAAATGAATGATAGAAGTCCTCCTGTCCACACAGACAAGTAAGGTTCAGAGTGCATTCTCTTAAGAGTCTTTTTTCCCTCAGAGCCACATGAGCCATTCCTCAAAGAGAACTGTCTTTTTACTTCCTTCCTTCATTGTACGGTGACCTTTTAGCAGAGTCTTTTAGGAAAAAAATCAGAGTGAGCTCTGAAAGAATCCAGACAGAGCCTGCCTCTTTCTAATGCTTTGGAAAGAGATGACATTTTATGAAGAAAACAAAACAAAACAAAACAATCTTAGACCTTTTGAGGCATTACTGCCATCTGGGGGCAATAATATTAATCTACAGGCAACCAAGAACTTTTCCCTCTGCCTACTAATTGTCTCAAATTTTCTGAAGTTTAACAATGATTTTAACCTTGGTATGAGTCTCCTTTTATCCATCATGGCTTCTATTCTGGAAACATATGTCCTTCAGTTCTAGGGCATTTTCTTGAATTATTTCATTGATATTTTTCTTCCCATTTTCTCTTTTGGGAATTCTTATAATTTGGATGTTAGGTCTCCTGAATTGGCTTTTAACTTTCTTATCCTTTTTCTCCCATGTTCCTCCTCTCTTTTTTTGTACTACTTTTTTAGAGGCGATATTTCTGGCTCCACCAAAATACCTCCAAAACCACCTTTGGCAAAACAAAGGTGAGGGACTTCCCTGGTGGCGCAGTGCTTAAGAATCCGCCTGCCAATGCAGGAGACACAGGTTTGAGCCCTGGTCCGGGAAGATCCCACACGTCATGGAGCAACTAAGCCCGTGCGCCACAACTACTGAGCCTGCGCTCTAGAGCCCGCGAGCCACAACTACTGAGTCCACGTGCCACAACTACTGAAGCCTGTGCGACTAGAGCCCGTGATCCTCAACGAAAAGCCACCGCAATGAGAAGCCTGCCCACTGCAATGAAGAGTAGCCCCCGCTCGGCGCAACTAGAGAAAGCCTGTGCAGAGCAACAAAGACCCAGCACAGCCAAAAATAAAAAAAAAATTTTTAAATTAAAAAAAAAAAGCTGAGTTTATTCTTACTGAAGGAAGAGACAGCACTAACTTGACGGAGTCTTAGCCTCTTGGAGGGGGGAGGGCAAAGCTTAGTTATTTCTGAGGTTTTGCAACCTGGTTTAGGGCAGGTCTTTCAATGCTAGGGCTTATTAGGATTGGACAAGAATAACAGTTTAGTGTTGGTGGTCCCAGCAAGGAAGGATTTTGAGACGCAGATTCAAAGAGTCTAGGGGAGTAAACTGTTCCTTGATGCTATCTATTGGTAAGTTCAGCATTTAAATAGGTTTTTCCAGAATAAACAAAATTATTTACATCTGTCATTGCCTTGTGAAACAGTTCCCTGTAATAATAAAGTTACACTTGAGATGAGTGGAATAGTAAGTCTTGTAAATGCAAACAATAAGCTGTGTGGGTACAGATGGTTTCAGTTCTCAGGGGTCTCCTCACCTGATTTTCCTTCCTTTCTGTTGAATTTTCACTTCTACTATAGTATCTTCAATTTATGAGCCTTTTTTCTTCTGAAAGCTCCTTTTTAAAGCCTTCTTTCTTTGGGGGGACAAGGATATCAACAAGGACAGAAAATAGAATTTTTTAAAACAAGTTTCCCTACCAGCTTCATTGCCTCAATGTCCTCTGAGTTCCTTCTGGTGTCTGTCTTTCATGCTGGGCCTTTCTTGGATTGTCTGAGGGTGAGCCTTGGCTGTCCATGAAGAGCAATGAGACCGACAGCGGGGGTGAGGCAGGGTAAGAGGCCGGGCTGGTCAGTGCAGGATGATCGTATTAAGACTGCAGGGTTTTGGCCCTCTTGGGCTGTAAAGTTTTCCCACTGAGGAATTATCCAATTGCCTGTGGGTCAAGGAGGGCATGGAGCAAGGCTGGTTGCCAGCGTTCTCAGAGCTGAGTTACAGAAGGGGGCTGAGATGTCACCATCCAATACTGAGGTTCCCTTAATTCTAATTTTCATTACACTATCTCTGTCCTCAGCTACGCCTCTTACTTTTTTTGTCTCGCTCACACTCCCCCTTTCAGAGACATCTAGTACCTCCACCACCTAATCTTTCCTGGGGGTTCTAAAAATTGGCTTGTTATGGCTTCGCCACTAACAGCTTAGTGAATTACTACTCTGCTAAGTCAGTTTCCATTCTTCCAAAATGTGGTTGCTGTCATCTGCTCACCCAGGTTCTTTGTCTTGTGGGTTTATGCATTTTGAACTTATTCCTTTTAGAAGACTTTGGATAGGCAGCAGAGATAAATGAATGTGTTCATTCAACCACATTTAACTAGGAGTCTGCATTACATTCCTAAGGTTCCCTCCAACACTAAATACTGTGATTTTAAGTGCATTTTTGTTAAAGCCAGAGTGAACATAGTTGGGAATGATACTGGAGCAAATACAACTTAGGAATCTCATGTCCAAATGCATTAGGAGAAGAGAGGTAATTAGCTTTCTCCCACCCCCAATTATCAGTCTGGGAAGGCTTTATGGATAAAGCAAAATTTGAGGAACTATTTATATGATAAGAAATACTCATTTTGACACAGAGTAGATGAAAAAATATTTTAATAACTAAACCTGAGGACTTATTTATATATTTTAAAAAGCAGCAGGAGTGGAATAAAAGAGAAGTTGAGGGAGCCTACAGCAAACTTATTCTTGATCCAGAATGCAACAGGACCTACCATCAGGCTTTAGGTAGTGAAATGGTAACAGAAAGGTGTGAAAAGAAAGATAACGTAGGAAACTTTGGTATCAATTATAAGGATAAATTGAGGGAGGAAGAGACAATACTAAAAAAAAAAAGAAGAAGAAGAAGAAGTTTTTTAAAGAAATGGAAAAGCCAATCTTCTAAAATTCATAGCGAAACGCAAAGGACCTTGATCAGCCAAAACAATACTGAGAAAGAAGAACAAAGTTGGAGGACTCCCTCTCCAATTTCCAAACTTACTATACGGCTATGGTAACCCAGAACAGTGTGTACTGGCATAAGGATAGACATATAGACCAATGGAGTATAACTGAGAGTCCAGAAATAAACCCATACATCTATGGCCAATTGATTTTCAACAAGCATGCCAAGACTATTCGACAAGAATAGTCTCTTCCATAAATGGTGCTGGGACAACTGGATACCCACACTCCTACTTCATATGATATATCAAAATTAACTCAAAATGTATCAATAGCCTAAATATAAGAGCTAAAACTATAAAACTCTTAGAAGGATACATATGGGTAAATCTTCAGGACCTTGGATTCAGAATGGATTGTTAAATATGACACAAAAAGCACAAGCAACAAAAGAAAAATGGATAAATTAGACTTTATCAAGATTGAAAACTTTTGTTCATCAAAGGACATTATCAGGAAAATGAGAAAGACAACCCATAGAATAAAAGAAAATATTTGCAAATCACATGACTAAGTCTTGGGACTTCCCTGGTGTCACAGTGGTTAAGACTCCACACTCCCAACACAGGGGGCCTGGGTTCGATCCCTGGTCAGGGAGCTAGATCCCACATGCATGCCGCAAATAAGAGTTCTCATGCCACAACTAAGGAGCCCACATGCTGCAACTAAGGAGCCCCTGAGCCTCAACTAAGGAGCCCACCTGCTGCAACTAAGACCCGGCACAACCAAATAAATATTTTTTTAAAAAAGAGTCTAGTATTCAGAATGTATAAAGAACTCTTACAACTCAACAACAAAAAGATAAACAACCCGAAGTAAAAATGGGCAAATAACTTGAATAGACATGTCTTCAAACAAATTATACGGGGACTTCCCTGGTGACGCAGTGGTTAAGAATCCACCTGCTAATGCAGGGGACACAGGTTCGAGCCCTGGTCCGGGAAGATCCCACATGCTGCGGAGCAACTAAGCCCATGTGGCACAACTATAGAGCCTGCGCTCTAGAGCCTGCGAGCCACAACTACCGAGTCCGCGTGCCCCAGCTACTGAAGCCTGCACGCCTAGAGCCCATGCTCCTCAACAAAGACAAGCCACCCCAATGAGAAGCCCACACACCGCAACGAAGAGTAGCCCCTACTGGCCGCAACTAGAGAAAGTCCGCACGCAGCAATGAAGATCCAACGCAGCCAAAAATAAATTAATTAATTAATAAAAAAAATTAACCAATGGGCAACAGGCACATAAAAAGGTGCTCAGTATCATTAATCATTAAGGAAATGCAAATCA